GGCGTCCTTCTACGAGAGATACGGGCGTAAGCCTCTCACTAGTGAGTCGGCCCGTTGCAGTTTCCTTATTCTTTGCCTTGTAATTTGTCCTTGTCGCTATATGATCGTTTTTCTTTGTTGACAAGGAGAGTGCGAAGGGCGAGGGCTCCTCTGTTCGCATTCCGTCAACCGGTGCCTTCTACCCGGCCCGCACCGAGGTCTGATACCCGGCCTACATCGAGAGCTACTCAATCTGCACCTACGGTCGGGGCCGTGTGCATGGAAATTATTCCACAACCTAAGACTCCGGCTCCTGCCGTCCGCTCAACGGGCGAATCTTCCCGTGCTGGTAGCGGAGAGGGTCCGTCAAAGAGACGGCGAGTGGAGTCTGAAGTGGCTCCTTCCGCCGAAGCATCTTCGGGGGGCGGCCCTCCCTTAGCGGTGTTTGAAATTGACAGTGGTGCTAACCCGGCCGCAGAGGTAAACCCGATGGCAGGGGCAAACCCGGTGGTAGAGGCTTTGGCCGTTCTGAACGATCAACAGGCTATTGCGACGGACAGATGGGGTCCCGAGGCTGCTGTTGCTGTTTTAGGCGGCCCTTCGTCATCTGGATCGAATCACGCTTCTTCTTCAGGAGCAGAGAGAGGAAAGCGTGTCGTGGTTGATGACTACGAGTCTGACTCCGACCTCGACCCTGATGATGTTAGGATGTTCGAGGAGGGCTTTACCTATACTATGGTAAGAGCGGGAGGTCCTTCCCGTATACTTGAGATTCCATCGGATCTCAATCTTCTACGGGACACGGATGGGTTGGTGCCGCAGTTCGACCTTCTATGCTCTGCCGCCGAATGTGAGGCTCTTCGGGACGTTAGCGACGTCGAATTATCGCATAAAGTGGCCGCTATGGGCCTAAGGGTAAGTTTCTTCTCTTTGTTTTTTTTGTCTCCATTTGGTTTTTGGTGGCCTTGGCCTTCACCGACTTTTTTCTTTGCTTTCAGTCTTACATGCTGGAGATTGAGAGTGCTCACAGGGATGAAACTCGGGCCAAGATTTTTTTGATGATGCTAGAAAAGTATCGGCGCTATCGCAACAAACGCCGTGAGATGCATGAGCGGCTCAGGGCGAGAACAGACAACCAATCTCTCGGGGAAGAGCTGGAGAAGAGGGATCAGGAGTTGATGCAGTCTATTCGCACGAGTAGCGAGCTCGAGGAGCTACTTCATGCAAAGGACGAAGAACTTGAGTTGGGAAAGGGGGTCGCTGCAAAGTGTGAGCATCATCAGGCGAAGGTGCTATCGTTGCAATCTGAACTTGATCAAAATGCCTCTAGAGTTGAAGCTTTGAGTGATGAGTGGATGCGAAAGTTGGCCGGGCTGGAGAGAAAAGTTTCCAAGTTGGAGGATGCCAAGAATGCTCGGGCGTCGGCTTTGGTAAGGACGGCGGCTTTGGAGGACATTATCCGTGTCCTTCAATCCGAGCAGGACTCTGAGAGGGCAACGACCACGCTAAGGGAGGCGAGGCTCAAAGAGCGCATTGGTGAGATTGAACGGGAAACTTCGAACTTGGGAGATCGGGTCGCTTTCCTCGAGACTGAAAAGGCGCAATTGGTTGGACAAGTTAAATCTGCCTCTGCCACTGTTCCTCACCACTTGTAAGAGGCGTTGGGTTCATGCCGAGGCCACACGAGAGATATACAAGAGTTTATGGGAGGCGGGCAATATTTCTGAGGCTGCTTATGAAGGAGCCCGGGTGAAGGCACGAGAGGCTTGTGTCAACTGTGGCTATGACCCCGCGACACCGGAGGCTGGCGAAGATGCTATGCTGAGGAGGAGTTTCTTGAAGACAATGATGGGGAGGACGATGGTGATGACGCTGAGTGAAAAGTTGCTGCTGCTTTAGTATATATGCTTATATTTTTTTGTGTTTCATTTTCGTCTCTTTTTTTTAATTGGGCCTATTTTGGCCTTGTGTAAGGTGCAGCCGTTGCGCACATATATATGAATAAAAGAGTTGTTTCGCCTTAGTATATCCTTGGATTTTCTTTCCCCTCCCCTTGTTTGTTACATCTTTTGTTTTGGCGTTGACCTTCGGATATTTGTATGGCGAATTCCTGGTTTTTCGATTTGGGAATCCGGCTTGACCGGGCCGAGTAGGGTCTCGTCGTGTGAGTCCGAATGGAGTTTCTTCGGATTTGCACATTCGGGCGAGATTGACTTTTGACTTGTTGCTTTAGGCAAAATCATCTTTGATTCAAACGAGGTCGACTTTTTCATATGTATTCGAGTGGGGTCGAACTTGGAATTTGGATCGAAGTCAATTTCTGACTTATTTGAACAAGTTCGAAAAACAAATTTTTTATTTGACAATGGCCGGTGGCCGTAAGGGTGTCATTTCGAACTAAGGTCGAAAAGTTAACCCGTTGTGATTCGAGTGAGGTCGAATCCTTCTTTTGGCGATGGCCTTTGGCCGTAGGGGTATCATTTCGATCTAAGGCCAAAATGTTAGCCCGTTGTGATACGAGCGAAGTCGAGTCCTTCTTTTGGCGATGGCCTTGTACCGTAGGGTGTCATTTCAAACTAAGGTCGAAATGTTAACCCATTGTGATTCGAACGAGGTCGAATCCTTCTTTTGGCGATGGCCTTTGGCCGTAGGGGTGTCATTTCGAACTAAGGTCAAACTGTTAACCCGTTGTGATTCGAGCGAGGTCGAATCCTTCTTTTGGCGATGGCCTTTAGCCGTAGGGGTGTCATTTCGAACTAAGGTCGAAATGTTAACCCGTTGTTTCACTATCAGATTTTGGAGAATTTCACAGGTCACCGTACTGTTTGTGCATACGTCGGGGTGAATCTTGGCATACTCGGTTTTGTTTTTACTGGAGAATATTGGGTGTTCCCTGGGGGAGTCCCAGTTTTGCTTAGCTTCTGCGTTTCCTGGGTGAGTCCTAGTTTGCTTAATTTTGCTTGCATTGGAGAATACGATGTGTTTCCTGGGTGAGTCCCAGTTTGCTTAATTTTGCTTGCATTGGAGAATACCTTGATGGGGAGTACAAAATGTTGCTCTGCTTCACTCACTGGAGAATGCTATACATGTTCGTTTCATACATATATTGGAGAAGTTTCCATGTATCTAGTCCCTTCATCGCCCGGTCTCGAGAAGTAGTCGACAGGCGGGGCGATGAATCATACTTAAACTTCGAGACGCCCCTTTTGTCGCCTTGTTAGAAATCTCACCGAGAGGACCCGACTGGGACGAGACCCGGGTGGAGGAAAAAGGATACGACTTGAGGGGTGTCCTTTCTCTGGGGTTGAAGTATTGGAGGTGGGCGACATTCCAATCGTTTTGTAGTAGTTTTCCATCCATTGTTTCTAGTTGGAATGCTCCTTTGCTCGCTTGCCCATGCGAGTGCTCGCGTTCATGTTTAAACCAACAACAGAGGATAAACCAAAATGAAATTTTCCGTACCTCGATCCAACGGGTCAGCGAAAAGAGCGGCGTCGTAGTGTTACTCGCTCCGCCTGGTGTTCGAATGGTGGTTTTAGATTTGGCGGCCGTGTTCAGCTCTGTTTCTAACAGCGTCTAGGCTTCGCACGGGTTGGGCCTACCTCACTTGCTGAATGTGCCCATTCTTTCAAAGGATCGCACGGCAAGCTGTCGTCCCCTCATAAAGGGTGGGAATGCGGGTTAATATATAAGGTAAACGCGTCAAATGGGGATGTGGTCATGCCAGATGACCATGATCCTATTTTGAACGTGCGTACGTCGTGCTGAACCTATTGCTACTGGCGTGATGTGGGTTTTGCATAGATATTGGTCATAATTTCTACTTTTATGTAGCAACCTAACCTAGATTAGTACTGTTGTCTCGAAGGTTTATTTACCGCTATTTCGAGTAGGTGGTGACATTTCGCCGGTTCTAGATCTGAAGGGAACTATGAAATCCCCACAGACGGCACCAAAATGTTTGAGCAAAAAGTGTAAAACCCTTTTGTCGAACAAATTATTGATAATAAAGAAGGTAAATCTTAGCCAAACATAATTAATTCCAGATCCAAACGTACAAAGTGCGAAATAGAAGAAGAATAAGAACGCGTAAGATTTCATAATATAATAATCGTACATCAAACATGAGAGATGAGCTTACATCTAGAGCAGATATGCGTCATAATCATGGGAGCAAGGAAGGGGAAGAGAGGTAACTGTTGATGACCAAGAGATTCCTCTTATTTTCTCTATTGTGGTAGCTATCTCAAATAATCCCCCCCCCCTCCCCCTTTATCTGGGCTTTTCCCCCATATATATAGTTTATTTCCCTTTTATCCAACGGTCTTTGACCGGCATGCTCGAACACAACGCTTGTTCTGTGATGTACGCTTTTCGACGATTTGACCCCTGCGATGGTCGAGGTGCTCTTTGCTATCTCGCCCCGTGGGCATGATTACAACTTGGTCGACCCCTTATCATTCCTCTTAAGGACGACCATTCTAGTCAGATTTTGACCCATACACTTAGAACTTGTGGTCTAACATGTATAATTATATGTATATGGCAATAACTTATAAGAGCATGTCATGGGTAAGATTTAAAGTTAAAGAGTCTCGAAAATAAAAATGTGGCATACTTTTTTGAACGGGCTAAAAGGAAATAGTATACTCCCTCCGTTTCAATTCAGATGAGATAGTTTGACTCGGCACGTAATTTAAAAAAAAGACTTTTGAAACTTTTGGTCTTAAAAGCTTAAGGGGTAAAAGCTTTATGGGGCCATGATATTTGTGAGGATATAAAAATATCTCATTAAGGATAAAATGGGTAAATGAAGAGTTTAAAGTTGAATTATTTCTAAATTTAGATACGTGTCATTTATTTTGGAACAAACTAAAAAGGAAAGTACCTCATCTGATTTGAAACGAAGGAAGTATATAGAATGAAAAAAGTAATTCTCAAGGGAGTTTAATTTTTGAATACCTTTGGGAGCTGAAAATTCAGAAGCAGCTAGTTTGACATAAATTGTCATTCCACTAGTATCATTTTCGGAGAGTTGTTGCAAGTTGAAAAGGTCTCCATCCCAAGTTAGACAGTTGTTTGCTATCAAAAGCGTAAGCAGTACAAGAGCAATTATTGAGACAAGTGGATTCACATTCTATTGCACTACCAATAGTCCGAATGTGATTATCAACTGATAATCTCATATGAGAATGCATTCGAAACTTGTCCTCCTCCAAAGTAATAGCACTAGCATTACCACAGTTCAGACTTGATTTCCTCTCACAACCACTAGAGAAACTATTCAAATCCCAGTCTTTGTTTGATCTAGGAGCAAAACCAGGCAAACAATCACACAAGCGAGTACTTGAGATTTTACTACAGACACCATATGCACCACAATAACCGTAAACATCACATGATTGTGTTGGTTGAACGAAAAACGTATTCCACTGCTTGGTACTATTCAACCACATCAGCTGCTTAAGTTCCCCTGTGACATCTATTATAAATCTTGACACGACTGAAGGATTAAAAAAATAATATGAAAAATAGACCTCATCCGTGTTGTTTATATACGTGAAATTGTGCGTGGGATTTGATTTTCTGCTCCAAGGTCCAGTTGACCAATATTCTACAGTTTTATTCAATCTATCAACGCTCCTACCGTTAGGCTCCATCTCAAGGGAAAAGAGCCCTGGACTAGGATCTTCAGAGTTGGTCCAAGAAGTAAGAGCTTGTTTTGTGTTTGTTCTTTTATTATAGCCAAGTTTAGCCCCAGGCAAAAATGTGTGGCTCGGATGATCGAAACTTTGCCACAATAAATGAGACCCGCCATTCAAAATCAAGTTCCCATCATCACCAAGAATAGCCACCACAGGTTTTATCGTGCTGGAGTCAATATTTGTCGATCAAATTGAGCGTCCACTCCCATTGAGCAGCACCAAGTTACTCTTTATAATTTTGAATTGTGCGGATGCCATTTCGGATAAAGAAAGAGGAGTCTCCCTATTTGCTACCCAAACTACGGTTTGTGGGATTATATCTTTGTACCATATACCAATATAATACTTAGAAAGATTACCTGGTTTGAAGAAGCCCATCTCAAATTTTCCACCCGAAGAAACTACTGTTACGCTCATAGTTATGGTTTTGTCCGCATCAAGGGTATCTCCAAGGGAAAAGGTCTCATTTGCAGTGATGGTGTTAGCTCCAAAACAGAAGCACGAGAAGAGTACAAATTATAATAAACTTGTTTCCATTAGTTCACATTTATATTAAATATGTTTAGATTAGTTCATATTAGTATGATATGTATGAACTAGTGTAGACTAATGTGAACTTCATTATGAGATGTATGAACTAGTGTAGAGTAATGTGAATTTAGTTAGTGTGTTTACATGAAGTTTAGGCTAGATACATGTAGGAGTTCTACTATAAATACCCATGTATGCAAGCCATTTGGAACAAGTCAAGTTGAATGAAAAATATCATTTCTTCTCCATTCTTAAAGTGAGTTGTGAGTGTTTGAGTGTTTTGTTGTCTTGCTCTCCCAAATTATTATTTTTTCCAACATTTGGTATCAGAGCCGGTGTGGTTGAAGACAACAAACTTGGAGAAAAGATGATGAATTCTAACGGAACACCATTCCAAGTTCCTATGCTTACAAAAGAGAACTATGGAAATTGGTGTATTCGAATGAAGGCCTTGCTTGGTGCCTATGATGTTTGGGAACCAGTAGAGTCCGGTGTTGATGAAGCAGAAGATGTCGTTGCCTCAAAGAAGAAGGATCAAAAGGCACTCACTCTCATCCATCAAGGTTTGGATGACAAGATGTTCGAGAAGGTTGCAAATGTAACAACCTCCAAGGAAGCATGGGATATTCTTCAAACTTCTTTTAAAGGTTTGGACAAAGTGAAAAAAGTTCGCCTCCAAACCTTAAGAGGAGAGTTTGAATCATTGCATATGAAGGAAAATGAATATGTTGTGGATTATATTTCGAGAGTTTTGGCTATTGTCAATCAAATGAAAAGATACGGTGAAGAGTTGAAAGACGATAGGGTCGTGGCAAAAATACTACGATCCTTAATCTCAAAATTTGATTTTATTGTTGTTGCCATTGAAGAGTCCAAAGACTTGGACACCATGACCATAGACGAGCTTTCGAGTTCCTTGCAAGCACATGAAGAGAAGTTGAAGAAACCGAAAGAAGAATCGGTTGAACAAGCGTTGCAAGCAAAATTTTCTTTCAAAGAGAAAGATGAAAGGCGTGGCTCGCAACAAAGAGGCCGTGGAAATGGAAGAGGTCGTGGTAGAGGCGGAAGAGGAGGTAGTCAACCACCTTCAAGTAGAGAAAAATAAAGGCCAAGACTTTAATTCAAGAAGAGGTCGTGGAAGAGGGAAAGGATGGAGGCAAAATCAAGGAAGGTATGACAAATCAAATATTGAATGTTATACTTGTCATAAATTTGGTCATTTTTCTTGGGAATGTAAAGATAACTTTGAAGAGAAAAATAATTTCGTGGAGAGCAAAAATGAAGATGAAGATGCCACCTTGCTTCTCGCATGCAAAGGAGAAGAAAGTGCCGAGAAGCACCGATGGTACCTTGATTCCGGTGCAAGTAGCCATATTTGTGGAAAGAAGGATTTATTTGTGGAACTTGAAGAGTTGAATCGTGGCACAATCACTTTTGGAGATTCTTCACGTGTTAAAATCAAAGGAAAAGGTACGATTTTAGTTCGCTTGAAGGATGGAAGTCATCAATTAATTTCTAATGTTTTATATGTGCCGGAGATGAAAAGTAACATTTTGAGTTTGGGACAACTTTTGGAGGAAAATTATGACATTCATTTGAAAGATAAAAAGTTGTTTATGAGAGATGAAAAAGGGAGATTATTAGCTAAAGTTCCTATGGCTAATAATAAAATGTTCATTTTAAATCTTCAAAATGATGCTCCAAGATGCTTACTTTCATGTGCCAAAGACTCCTCTTGGCTTTGGCATATGAGATTTGGTCACTTGAATTTTGATAGCTTAAGGTTGATGGATAAAGAAATCCATATATAATATTTACAATTATAACAAGAGTCCCGACAAGGGAAAAAAGGTCTACACTATCCCGGCAAGGGAAAAAGAAACAGCTATAACCAAACTTGTTACAACACCTATCTACCTCAGCCATACCCAAACTTGTTACAACACCTAACTACCTCAGCTATGCCCAAACTTGTTCCAACATCTAACTACCTCAGTTATAACCATAATCCTTACCTAACACAAAGAATCATCAACCTAAGTATTCGTAATATCAATTAAGAACACAATACAAGGGAACCACAACTCAACAATAGCCCGGTAAGGGGGCACATAATGATCTCTCCACTTTCTCACTTTTACTTCACAATTCACTTCCTCACTCGAGCCACTGCTCTAGAGGTTCAATTATCACTTATACTTTCACAATTCGTTATATAACTGGAGCCAACCGCATTCTACGCGTACCCTTTTGTCGTCGGTATACGCTTTCTCTCCCCTCATAGTGATAGACTTCTGTTGTTCTACGAAGTGTGTGCCCGCTCAAGATTTCACTGTTACGTGTACAAACTCTTCCTCAGCTGCTCAAGTACGCAAGAGCTCGCCAGCCGAGAGGTACTTTGGGCATATGCCTTAATATTTTTGCCCTCAACTTATTCCAGGAACGAGATCTACATGCGCCCACCGAGGAACAAAGAGTTTGGTGGTGAAGATGGGAACGACAAGGCCTAAGTCGCCATTTCTGGGAAAAGCTATTTCTACGTACGACCGAGCACCTTGCCGACAGGACTCTGACAGGTTTCCCGAGACGTGGAAACTTCGCCCAGTGAAGTTTTCCTTTGTTTATTTTGTGAACTCTCTCGGAGTTGTGGTCGACTGTTCCTCTTTAGGTGCGCATGTGCTAATTGTTTTTTGCTTTCGCACTGAGGAGATTTGCCTCCCCCACCAGTTGATGACATCCTCGAGTGGGTAATGTTATTCTTCCCCAATACAGTGGGGGGTCCGCGAGTGGGCGTCTTCTACGAGAGATACGGGCGTAAGCCTCTCACTAGGAGTCGGCCCGTTGCAGTTTCCCTTATTCTTTGCCTTGGTAATTTGTCCTTGTCGCTATATGATCGTTTTTCTTTGTTGACAAGAGAGTGCGAAGGGGCCGAGGGCCTCCTCTGTTCGCATTCCGTCAACCGGTGCTTCCTACCCGCCCGCCCAGGTCTGATACCCGGCCTACATCGGAGAGCTACTCAAATCTGCAGCCTACGTCGGTGCGTTGTTGCATGGAAATTATTTCCACCAAACCTAAGACTCCGGCTCCTGCCGTCCGCTCAAACGGGCGAATCTTCCCGTGCTGTAGCGGAAGGGTCCGTCAAAGAGACGGGCAGAGTGGAGTCTGAAGGGCTTCCTTCCGCGAAGCATCTTCGCTGGGGGCGGCCTCCCTAGCGGTGTTTGAAATTGACAGTGGGTTGCTAACCCGGCCGCAGCAGGTAAAACCCGATGGCAGGGCAAACCGTGTAGAGGCTTTGGCCGTTCTGAACGATCAGCTATTGCGACGGACAGATGCGGTCCCGAAGGCTGCTGTTGCTGTTTAGGCGCCCTTCGTCATCTGGATCGAATCACGCTTTCTCTTCAGGAGCAGAGAGAGAAAGCGTGTCGTGGTTGATGACACGAGTCTGACTCCCGACCTCGACCCTGATGATGTTTAGGAATGTTCGAGGAGGGCCTTTACCCTATACTAGGTAAGAGCGGGAGGTTCCCTTCCGTATAACTTGAGATTCCATCGGATCTCAATCTTCTACGGACACGATGGGTTGTGCCCGCAGTTCGACTTCTATGCCTGCCGTCCGAATGTCGAGGCTCTATCGGAACTGTTAGCGACGTCGAATTATCGCATTTAAAGTGGCAGCTTAGGCCTAAGGGTAGTTTCTTCCTTTTGTTTTTTGTTCTCCATGGTTTTTGGTGGCCCTTGCCTTTCACCGACTTTTTTTCTTGCTTTCAAGTCTACATGTGGTAGTATTGAGAGTGCTCACAGGGATGAAACTCGGGCCAAGATTTTTTTGATGATGCTTAGAAAAGTATCGGCGCTAATCGCAACAAAACGCCGTGAGATGCATGAGCGGCTCAGGGCCGAGAACAGAACAACAATCTCTCGGGGAAGAGCTGGAGAAGAGGGATCAGGAGTTGATGCAGTCTATTCGCACGAGTAGCGACTCGAGGAGCTACTTCATGCAAAGGACGAAGAAATTGAGTTGGGAAAGGGGGTCCGCTGGCAAAGTTGTGAGCAAATATCAGCGAAGTTGCTATCGTTGCATCTGAACTTGATCAAAATGCCCTCTAGAGTTGAAAGCTTGAGTGATGAGTGAATGCGAAAGTTGGGGCCGGCTGGAGAGAAAGTTTACAAGTTGGAGGATGCGACAGAATGCTCGGGCGTCGGCTTGGTAAGGACGGCGGAACTTTGGTGAGGACAATTATCCGTGTCCTCAATCCGAGCAGGACTCTGAGAGGCAACGACCACGCTAAGGAGGCGAGGCTCAAAAGAGCGCATTGTGAGATTGAACGGGGAAACTTCGAACGTTGGAATCGGGTCGCTTTCTCGAACTGATAAAGGCGCAATTGGTTGACAAGTTAAAGCTGCCTCTGGCAGTGCTGTTCCTCACACTTGTAAGAGGCGTTGGGTTCATGGCCCGAGGCCACACGAGAGATATACAAGAGTTTATGGGAGGCGGGCAATATTCTGAGGCTGCTTATGAAGAGAGCCCGGGTGAAGGCACGAGAGCTTGTGTCAACTGTGGCTATGACCCCGCGACACCGAGGCTGGCGAAGGATGCTATGCTGAGGAGGAGTTTACTTGAAAGACATGATGGGGAGGACGATGGTGATGACGCTGAGTGAAAAGTTTGCTGCTGCTTTAGTATATATGCTTATATTTTTTTGTGTTTTCATTTTCGTCTCTTTTTTTAATTGGGCCTATTTTGGCCTTGTGTAAGTGCAAGCCGTTGCGCACATATATATGAATAAAAGAGTTGTTCGCCCTTAGTATATCCTTGGATTTTCTTTCCCCTCCCTTGTTTGTTACATCTTTTGTTTTGGCGTTGACCTTCGGAATATTTGTATGGCGAATTCCTGGTTTTTCGATTTGGGAATCCGGCTTGACCGGGCCGAGTAGGGTCTCGTCGTGTGAGTCCGAATGGAGTTTCTTCGGATTTGCACATTCGGGCGAGATTGACTTTTGACTTGTTGCTTTAGCAAAATCATTCTTTGATTCAAACGAGTCGACTTTTTCATATGTATTCGAGTGGGGTCGAACTTGGAATTTGGATCGAAGTCAATTTCTGACTTATTTGAACAAGTTCGAAAACAAATTTTTTATTGACAATGGCCGGTGGCCGTAAGGGTGTCATTTCGAACTAAGGTCGCAAAAGTTAACCCGTTTGTGATTCGAGTGAGGTCGAATCCTTCTTTTGGCGATGGCCTTTGGCCGTAGGGTATATTTCGATCAGGCCAAAATGTTAGCCCGTTGTGATACGAGCGAAGTCGAGTCCTTCTTTGGCGATGGCCTTGTACCGTAGGGTGTCATTTCAAACTAAGGTCGAAATGTTAACCCATTGTGATTCGAACGAGTCGAATCCTTCTTTTGGCGATGGCCTTTGGCGTAGGGGTGTCATTTCAACTAAGGCCAAATGTTACCCGTTTGTGATTCGAGCGAGGTCGAAATCCCTTCTTTTGGCGATGGCTTTAGCCGTAGGGGTGTCATTTCGAACTAAGGTCGAAATGTTAAACCCGTTGTTTCACTATCAGATTTTGGAGGAATTTCACACGGTCACCGTACTGTTGTGTGCATAACGTCGGGGTGAATCTTGGCATACTCGGTTTTGTTTGTACTGGAGATATTGGGTGTTCGCCTGGGGGAGTCCCAGTTTTGCTTAGCTTCTGTTTCCTGTGTGAGTCCTAGTTTGCTTAATTTGCTGCATTGCGAGAATACGTGTGTTTCCTGGGTGAGTCCCAGTTTGCCCTAATTTTGCTTGCATTGGAGAATACCTTGAATGGGAGTACACAAAATGTTGCTCTGCTTCACTCACTGGAGAATGCCTATACATGTTCGTTTCATACATATATTGGAGAAGTTCTTCCATGTATCTAGTCTTCATCGCCCCGGTCTCGAGAAGTAGTCGACAAGCGGGGCGATGAATCATACTTTAGAACTTCGAGACGCCCCTCTTTGTCGCCTGTAGAAATTCTCACCCGAGAGACCCGACTGGGACGAGACCCGGGTGGAGGAAAAAGGATACGACTTGAGGGGTGTCCTTTCTCTGGGCGTTTAAGTATTGGAGGTGGGCTACATTCCAATCGTTTTATAGTAGTTTTCCATCCATTGTTTCATAGTTGGAATGCTCCTTTGCTCGCTTCCCATGCGCGATGCTCGCGATCATGTTTAAAACCAACAACAGAGGATAAACCAAATGAAATTTTCCTACCTCGATCCAACGGGTCAGCGAAAAGAGCGGCGTCGTAGTGTTACTCGCTCCGCCTGGTGTTCGGAATGGTGGTTTAGATTTGGCGCCGTGTTCAGCTCTGTTTCTAACAGCGCTCTAGCTTCGCACGGGTTGGGCCTACCTCACTTGCTGAATGTGCCCATTCTTCAAAGGATCGCACGGCAAGCTGTCGTCCCCTCATAAAGGGGTGGAATAGCGGTAATATATAAGGTAAAACGCCGTCAAATGGGGATGTGGTCATGCCAGATGACCATGTTTATGACCTATTTTGAACGTGCGTACGTCGTGCTGAACCTATTGCTAACTGGCGTGATTTGGGGTTTTGCATAAGATATTGGTCATAATTTCTACTTTTATGTAGCAACCTAACCTAGATTAGTACGTTTGTCTCGAAGGTTTATTTACCGCTATTTCGAGTAGGTGGTGACATTTCGCCGGTTCTAGATCTGAAGGAACTATGAAAATCCCACAGACGGCACCAAAATGTTTGAGCAAAAAGTGTAAAGACCTTTTGTCGAACACATTATTGATAATAAAAGAAGGTAAATCTTAGCCAAACATAATTAATTCCAGATCCAAACGTACAAAGTGCGAAATAGAAGAAGAATAAGAACGCGTAAGATTCATTAATATAACTAACTGATTCAAAACATGAGAGATAGCTACATCTAAGAAATATGCGTCATAATCATGAGCAAGGAAGGGAAGAGAGTAACTGTTGATGACCAAGAGATTCCTCTTATTTTCTTCTATTGTGGTAGCTATCTCAAATAATCCCCCCCTCGCCTCTCCCCCTCTATCTGCTTTTCCCCATATATATAGTTTATTTCCCTTTTTCAACGGTCTTTGACCGGCATGCTCGAAACAACAACGCTGTTCTGTGATGTACGCTTTTCGACGATTTGACCCCTGGTCGATCCCTACCTGCTATCTCGCCCCGTGGGCATGATTACAAACTTGGTCGACCCCTTATCATTCCTCTTAAGGACGACCATTCTAGTCAGATTTTGACCCATACACTTAGAACTTGTGGTCTAACATGTATAATTATATGTATATGGCAATAACTTATAAAGCAGTCATGGTAAGATTTAAAGTTAAAGAGTCTCGAAAATAAAAAGTGGCATACTTTTTTGAACGGGCTAAAAGAAATAGTATACTCCCTCCGTTTCAAATCTATATGAGTATATATGATATGCTCTCACCTAAATTTAAAAAAAAGACTTTTGAAACTTTTGGTCTTAAAACTTAAGGGTAAAAGCTTTATGGGGCCATGATATTTGTGAGGATATAAAAATATCTCATTAAGGATAAATGGGTAAATGAAGAGTTTAAAGTTGAATTATTTCTAAATTTAGATACGTGTCATTTATTTTGGAACAAAACATAAAAAAATACCTCATCTGTTTGAAACGAAGGAAGTATATAGAATGAAAAAAAGTAATTCTCAGGGAGTTTAATTTTTGAATACCTTTGGGAGCTGAAAATTCAGAAGCAGCTAGTTGACATAAATTGTTCATTCCATAGTATCATTTTCGGAGAGTTGCTTGCAAGTTTGAAAAAGTCCTCATCCCAAGTTAGACAGTTGTTTGCTATCAAAAGCTAAGCAGTACAAGAGCAATTATTGAAGACAAGTGGATTCACATTCTATTGCACTACCAATAGTCCGAATGTGATTATCAACTGATAATCTCATATGAGAATGCATTCGAAACTTTGTCCTCCTCCAAAGTAATAGCACTAGCATTACCACAGTTCAGACTTGATTTCCTCTCACAACCACTAGAGAAACTATTCAAATCCCAGTCTTTGTTTGATCTAGGAGCAAAACCAGGCAAACAATCACCACAACGAGTACTTGAGATTTTACTACAGGACACCATATGCACCACAATAACCGTAACATCACATGATTGTGTTGGTTGAACGGAAAAACGTATTCCACTGCTTGGTACTATTCAACCACATCAGCTGCTTAAGTTCCCCTGTGACATCTATTATAAATCTTGACACGACTGAAGGATTAAAAAATAAATATGAAAAATAGACCTCATCCGTGTTGTTTATATACGTGAAATTGTGCGTGGATTGATTTTCTGCTCCAAGGTCCAGTGACCATATACTACATTATTCAATATTTACAACGCTCCTACCGTTAGGCTCCATAGTAAAAAGAGCCTGGACTAGGATCTTCAAGAGTTGGTCCAAGAATAAAGGTTTCTGTGTTGTTCTATTATCAGCAGTTTACCCAGCGAAAAATGTGGCTCTATGATCGAAACTTTGCCACAATAAAAGAGACCCGCCATTCAAAATCAAGTTCCCATCATCACCAAGAATAGCCACCACAGGTTTTATCGTGCTGGAGTCAATATTTGTCGATCAAATTGAGCGTCCACTCCCATTGAGCAGCGCCAAGTTACTCTTTATAATTTTGAATTGTGCGGATGCCATTTCGGATAAAGAAGAGGAGTCTCCCTATTTGCTACCCAAACTACGGTTTGTGGGATTATATCTTTGTACCATATACCATATAATACTTAGAAAGCTTCCCTGGTTTGAAGAAGCCCATCTCAAATTTTCCACCCGAAGAAACTACTGTTACGCTCATAGTTATGGTTTTGTCCGCATCAAGGGTATCTCCAAGGGAAAAGGTTCTCATTTGCAGTGATGGTGTTAGCTCCAAAACAGAAGCACGAGAAGAGTACAAATTATAATAAACTTGTTTCATTAGTTCACATTTAATTAAATATGTTTAGATTAGTTCATATTAGTATGATATGTTATGACTAGTGTAGACTAATGTGAACTTCATTATTGAGATGTATGAACTAGTGTTAGAGAATGTGAATTTATGTTAGTGTGTGTTTACATGAATTTTAGCTAGATACATGTAGGAGTTCTACTATAAATACCCATGTATGCAAAGCCATTTGGAACAAGTCAAGTTGAATGAAAAATAATCATTTCTTCTCCATTCTTAAAGTGAGTTGTGAGTGTTTGAGTGTTTTGTTGTCTTGCTCTCCCAAATTATTATTTTTTCCAACATTTGGTATCAGGAGCCGGTGTGGTTTGAAGACAACAAACTTGGAGAAAAGATGATGAATTCTAACGGAACACCATTCCAAGTTCCTATGCTTACAAAAGAGAACTATGGAAATTGGTGTATTCGAATGAAGGCCTTGCTTGGTGCCTATGATGTTTGGGAACCAGTAGAGTCCGGTGTTGATGAACAGAAGATGTCGTTGCCTCAAAGAAGAGGAAATCAAAAGGCACTCACTCTCATCCATCAAGGTTGGATGACAAGATGTTCGAGAAGGTTGCAAATGTAACAACTCCAAGGAAGCATGGGATATTCTTCAAAACTTCTTTTAAAAGGTTTGGACAAAGTGAAAAAAGTTCGCTCCAAACCTTTAAGAGGAAGAGTTTGAATCATTGCATATGAGGAAAATGAATATGTTGTGATTATATTTCGAGAGTTTTGGCTATTGTCAATCAAATGAAAAGATATGGTGAAGAGTTGAAGACGATAGGGTCGTGCAAAAATACTACGATCCTTAATTTCAAAATTTGATTTTATTGTTGTTGCCATTGAAGGAGTCAAAGACTTGACACCATGACCATAGACGAGCTTCGAGTTCCTTGCAACACATGAAGAGAAGTTGAAAGAAACCGAAAGAAGAATCGTTGAACAAGCGTTGCAAGCAAAATTTTCTTTCAAAGAGAAAGATGAAAGGCGTGCTCTCAACAAAGAGGCCGTGAAATGGAAGATCGTGGTAGAGGCGGAAAGAGGAGGTAGTCAACCACCTTCAAGTAGAGAAAAATAAAGCCAAGACTTTAATTCAAGAGAGGGTCGTGGAAGAGGGAAAGGATGGAGCGAATCAAGGAAGGTATGACAAATCAATATTGAATGTTATACTTGTCATAAATTTGGTCATTTTTCTTGGGAATGTAAAGATAACTTTTGAAGAGAAAAATAATTTCGTGGAGAGCAAAAATGAAGATGAAGATGCCACCTTGCTTCTCGCATGCAAAGAGAAGAAAGTGCCGAGAAGCACCGATTGGTACCTTGATTCCGGTGCAAGTAGCCATATTTGTGGAAAGAAGGATTTATTTGTGGAACTTGAAGAGTTGAATCGTGGCACAATCACTTTTGGAGATTCTTCACGTGTTAAAATCAAAGGAAAAGGTACGATTTTAGTTCGCTTGAAGGATGGAAGTCATCAATAATTTCTAATGTTTTATATGTGCCGGAGATTGAAAAGTAACATTTTGAGTTTGGGACAACTTTTGGAGGAAAATTATGACATTCATTTGAAAGATAAAAAGTTGTTTATGAGAGATGAAAAAGGGAGATTATTAGCTAAAGTTCCTATGGCTAATAATAAAATGTTCATTTAAATCTTCAAAATGATGCTCCAAGATGCTTACTTTCATGTGCCAAAGACTCCTCTTGGCTTTGCATATGAGATTTGGTCACTTGAATTTTGATAGCTTAAGGTTGATGGATAAAGAAAACATGGTGAATGGATTGCCAAGTATTATCATCCCAACCAATTGTGCGAAGGATGTATCTTTGGAAAGCAGCTAGAAAAAGCTTTCCTAAAGAGTCTTTGACAAGAGCAAGATGCCCTTGGAGTTAATTCACAGGAGTGTTTGCGGACCTATCAAGCCATCTTCACTTGGTAAAAGTAATTATATTATTTTCATTGATGATTATTCTACAAAAACTTGGTTTATTTTTTAAAGGCAAAATCAGAGGTGTTTGAAACTTTTAAAAAATTTCAAGAGGATGGTGGAGAAACAAAGTGGCTATCAAATTAAGTCACTTCGGTCAGACAATAGTGGAGAATTCACTTCAAAATGAATTCAAAATTTTTTGTGAGAAAAATGGAGTTCGCCATTTTTAACCGTGCCAAGATCACCACAACAAATGCGTTGTGGAAAGAAAGAACCGGACCATTCTTAACATGTTGAGGAGTATGTTGAAGAGCAAAATATGCCCAAAGGAATTTTGGGCTGAAGCTGTTGCTTGTGCGGTATACTTTCTAAATCGTTGCCACACAAACGTGTTCATGGAAAAACACCTCAAGAGGCATGGAGTGGTTTCAAGCCAAAAGTTTCTCACTTGCGAGTTTTCGGAAGCATTGCAATATGCACATATACATGATGAAAAAGAGGACCAAGCTCGATGACAAAAGTGAGAGGTATGTTTTTATTGGTTATGATCAAAATTCTAAAGGTTATAAATTGTATAATCCCAAAATGGCAAGGTCACTTTGAGTAGAGATGTTGAGTTTGATGAAGATAGTGCTTGGGATTGGAAGACTAAAGAGCAAGATTACTCTTTTAGTCCATTATTTGATGATGATGAAGAAGATATGGAGCAACTATCTCACCACTATCAACACCTCCGCCACAAATCAAGAAGTGGAGGAATCAAGTTCAAGTTCAAGTGAAGCACCTCACAAGAGTAGAAGTCTCCGTGACTTGTATGAAAACACGGAAGTGGTAAGAAATGATTTATATGATTTTACTCATTTTTGTTTATTGGTGGATAGTGAGCCTATAAGCTTTGAGGATGCATTCCAAAATTCCAAATGGAGAGATGCCATGGATGAAGAAATCAAGCAATAAAAAAGAATGAAACATGGGAGTTGGTCATACTTCCAAAAGGAAAAAGCACCATTGGAGTCAAATGGGTGTACAAGCTAAAGAAGAATTCCAAGGTGAACTAGAAAAGTACAAAGCAAGATTAGTAGCTAAAGGATACAAGCAAAAAGCCGGTATTGACTATTGAAGAGGTATTTGCACCGGTTTGCTCGTTTGAAACAATTCGCTTTGTCATTGCCTTGGCCGCCCAAAATCAAATGGAAAATCCATCAAAATGGATGTGAAGTCAGCTTTTTTGAATGGCGTATGGAGAC